CCTATGATGAAAATTACAGGCCTCTCTCATCTTTTTAAGTGGGAGAACTTGCACAATTGGTGGCTAACTAAATACTTTTTTGCCCCACTGTATGTTGAGAGAGTGAATGAAGTTAGAATTGCTAAATAAATGGCACAAAAGGAGAGTGAATGGGTTAGCAGGAAGAGGAAGACTGAAAAAGTTGTGGTTGAAAGGAGTTGATGAAATTCTCAAAAAGGGAAGAGTAGTAAGTTTGACATACAGAAGGCAATGCATAAAGTGGTGGAAGGGTATGGCAGAACTAAGGATGCTTTGCAAGTATAGAAATACAGTGAGTGTCACTGTAAAACAGATTTAGCTACATTTTTGTTTCTGTTTCTTATCTCTTTAATTTCTTAGGCATAGTATTTTTTCTGTTTCTCCACATTTTGCATAAAAGAGCTTATTTCAAAAAGGAATAATGTGATGTGTGTGTGTGTGTATGTATGTGATGTAATGTAATGTAATGAAGAGATCCAAAAGGATCACTTCAAATTAGTGGAACAGGAATTAAAATGGCAAATACAGTTTAGCTTAAACCAGTGTAAAGTGAGGGTTATGGGGGGCCAACAGAACACCTACTATACATACACACTGATGAGTCTGAAATAGCAGTGACAGGCAAGGAAACAATTTTAGGTAGTCAGCTAAATTAAAAGATTCATTAAATATTTGGTTGCTGTAATCTGGTACACTCACTTTTAGGTGGAACCATTTCAAATAACTCCAATCTCTTGAGGAAAAGCAAACCATTAAAAAAAACCCTGAACTTCCCCCTATCTTTCATTTATTTATTCTGGGATAATTTCCTTTATAAAAAAATTCATAGTTCTTCATAGGGACTTTACCAAACCTTTTAATGAACCCAGACTTTTAGGACCAGTCAGAATTTTCCTGGAAAGAGATATCACTGAGTGTGTTTTCCAGCTGTTTTTAACCACAAGGATAGTTATTTCTTTTGAGGTTGTATCTTGCAAATTAAGTTTGTATACTATCCAAAAAAGGAAAATATATATGTTTAAGTGCCATCCTAATATCAAAGTTGAAGTTTGTGGTATACAAATATTTATAACTACTTCAGTCTTTTATATTATCTTTGGTCAGAAAGCTTGGGAAAATCTTAATGAAGACAAGAAAATAAATGAAAGAACTACCAGGAATTTTCTTCTGTATTTTGGCAAGCAAAACACTGCGCAATTGTACTTTTGGAAGAAAGAAATACTAAGCATTTTTCTTAACAATTATGTGTAGCATCTTTTTAAATGATTCCTTATTTTAGGCTTATGAAATGAAAATGAAAAGAACCATCAATCCTTCAACAGCATTCTTGCCAACAACTCTAGAAGATCTGGATAAAATATTGCATGGTGGAATTGCTTGTGGCAGTCTTACAGAGGTAAAAGATGGACATGGAAGTAAACTTATTTGAATCTGTTTATTTAATATATTGCCACTGAATATTCATTTATGGTGTTAAAATATCAGGCATGAACTTCTTTGCAAAGTCTTAGTTCATTTTAAAATCAAATTAATAATTAAAATAATTCATATTGTAAACTTATTCAGCAACAACAATAACAAAAAACATTCTTTCACATACAAATCATGATGGTTGTTTTTATGAAATTGTATCCATGGTAAAGTCAATTGAAAATTGAAATGGCCATTTGTGTGAAATAATTTATAAAATAATGTATACAGGTAGTCCTCACTTGACAGTAGTATTTGGGTCTGGAATTTCTGTCGCTAAGTGATGCGATCCTGAAGCATGTCACGTGACTGCACTGCTTAGCAACGGCAGTTCTGGCAGTCCCCTGTTACTGTCGTTAAGAGAATCATTGCGAGTTGTTAAGTGAGGACCTTACATGTCTGCGACTTCTGACTTCCTGCTGGCTTCCCTGTTGAATTTGCTTGTGGAAAGGTCGCAAATCGCAATCATGTGACCGCAGGGCATTGCCATGGTTGGAAATCCAGGCTGATTGCTGAGTGCCCAGATTATGATCACGTGATGCTGGGCGCTGTGATGGCTGGAATTTCAAGGACCAGTTATAAGTAGCCCTTGTTTAGCGCCCTCACAAATTCAAACAGTCACTGAATGAGTGGTTGTTAACTGAGGGCCACCTGTAGTAGTTCTTGTGCTACCAGTTCTTTTCACTTCAATTTTTTTTAGAGAACCAGTTGTTTAAAGCATTAGTAGCTTCAGAATAATGCTATTTCAGAATATTTATGTGAGGAAATACATTGAGAAACTGCAGGCAGTGTTCAAAGGCATTTTATCTGAGTAGAACCCTGAATTTTTGTTTCTCCTCTTATGTCAAACTCAAAAAGCTTTTTCACTGTGAGGTACTTTGAATGAAAACCCTAAAAGAGAAAAGTGTATTACATCTGGCATGGTGTTTGCTACAAAGACGTACTATTTTTGCAGATTACTGCAATTTACTAACTTCAATTGAATATTGACACTTGTCGATAAGTAATAGTCAATACTATATTTGATCAAACCTAACTCCAGTTTATTTTAGCTATTTAATTATTTACCTTACAGCATTTATAATCCAACCTTACCTGTCAGCAAGTCAAGGTAGTCCAGACATGACACACAAAACATAAGTACTAACACTACCTTTATTATAAGGTTACAGTAACAGTATGTTGCAAGTCTGAAAGCATTTCTCCCCTCTTTTACTTTCCAGAGTACTAGGGAGGGTCTCTTCTGAGATGCTTCCCATCTCCCTTTTCCTTCTGTGGGCTGAGATACCTTTTGGATGACGGTTGTCTACTCTGTGGCTCTTCCTCCTGTCTCCAAAGGTCGTTCCCACATACCATTACACTATCCCAAAGGACTCTAGGTGGAGTACAACATCAGCCTAAAAAACCGCACATAATAATCAACACCTAAATTGAGAAAAAGTATCAAAACCAAAACAGAAAAAGATAAGCTCCAAATAAAATGTGAGATAGGTACCACAGTCAGTCAACTTGGATGAAAGCAGGTTGAAGTAAAACAGTTTTAATCTGTTTCTGGAACTGCAGCAAGGTGAGAGAGTTGTATGTACTTCTCAGGGATAGTATTCCATAAGGTGGGGTTTGTTAAAGGGCCTACTGTTCCCCTGATGCCCCACGGAGCTCATGGGGGAGGGATCTTTTAGCTGGCCTTCTCTCTTTGACCACAGCACACCAGCAGATTTAGTGTTACCTGATGTATCCTGCTGCTGCACCATTTAGAGCTTTAGAGATAATCAGCAGTTTGAACTGGACCTGGAAATCTACTGACAACCATTGCAATAACTTTTATATAGGTGTAATTCTATATTGACTGGGTTGATCTGCCAGTAATCATGTCACTGCATTTTTTTACCAGCTGTGGCTTCTGAGTTGTCTCCAAAGGCAGCCGCAGATAGAGTGCATTGCAGTAGTCCAGTCAAGTGGTTATCAAAACATGAGTTACCAAAGTTGGGGCCTCCTGTTCCTGGTAGGTTTAAAACTGGTGAACCAGCTGAAGGTAGACATAATCTTCCCAGTTACAACTTCTACCTGCTGTTTGACCAGGACCTGTGGGTCTAGGAACACACCCAAATCACGAACCGTCTCTTGGGTGGAGAAAGACAAACGCATGCAGAATACTAGGATTATGTTATGGGACTGCTCTGATCTGAGTGTGTGTTGTCTCATCCAGATCCTCATAACCTCATAAGTGCAGTTGTATTTATTCTTTGCTTCAGTTACATGTTCTAAAACATAATATTCAGACTGCAGTTTTATCACAAGGGAAGAGTTTTTTATTCCATACTTTTGTGGCTACATTTAATAAACTGATGATGAAAAAAATGACTATTCATTCTTATTAATGATGATGTGGTTGGAAAGTTGGAACTCAGATACACAAACAATAAAAAAAAAGTTTTTCCCTACTACCAGTTCTTATGCTTGTGCTCTGAGGGCCAGAAAAATGTTCTTGCACTTATTTTCCCCCACCTTTTTTTTAAACCACTGGTGAAGTTTTAACAAGAAATTGAATCATACCTTTTTGTGGTTAATTAGTGTTTGTCTGGAAAATAATGAACCATTACATGAAAAGTGCCAACAACTTGAATATTGTTACTGTAGGGAGGCATTATGTGCCTGATTTCAGATTAAAAATTGAATAAGATATATTCTATGAATTCTCAACAGCGATGGGATGACATTTTCAGCATTTTGTCTTTTGCATTCACACTATCAGTTTCTGAAATAAAGAATATGGTCAGTCAGATTTTGTGGGAGAGAGTTAAGTCATGCTCATCCATTGAAATCAATTAGACTTTAAAACTCTTAACTCTTTGTAGTTTATGCCAAAATGTGAGATGATGCAAATACACTAATATTTCTCCAATTAATAAAAAAATATAAACCAATACACTGGTTTTGAAAATAATACAGAAATAAGTTTTTATTTTCACTGATGATAAAACTCAAGATATGTACTGTTTGCAAAATTTGTGAACATAAGGACTGACTTGGTAAAGAGCCTTAAAGTTCAGATTGGAAAGAACTTTAGCAGGAAAGATTGCTTGCTGTGTTGCAAACAAACCAAACAGGATTTATTTAATCCTGAAAGAGGAGAAAATATGCTTAGGAGAAGTCTTATCTTTATGTTCCTGTTAATAATCTGGGAGCCCCCAAGTCAAGCAATCAGTCACTGGATTGATTTGATGGTTGTGACAGAGGAAGGACAGTCTTGACAGGCAGATCCATAACACAGTGGTCTGGAACTGTCTGTGGTGAAGTTTGGTTTCGTTCTGTATATTTGGTTGTATACCGTATTAAGAGGAACATTTCTGATAACAACCCTCTTGTTTCTGGCAAGACTTCATTCTTAACTCAGAGGGTTGAAGAAAACATCCTAACAAGCTAAGAGCTTGTTAAATTCTGGCAGCTATTCCAAGCAACATATGAATGTATTTCATAATCATGTTGTTCTGATTTTAAAAGAAAATATTTTATAACCCCCCTTTCAATACTTTTAGGAAAAAAAAAAACAAGAAGGGCCCTCAGAGGGGAAAAAATGAAATAACTTTTATTGAGTTTTCCACCATAACCACCCCGCCCCCAAAACTTCCCATCTCAGTTGGAGATGTTATTACATTCCACATGATACTGGAGCTCCAGTCATTCATTGTATGGATCAGGTTGATGGGAGCTGAGACCTGAATATCAACTAAACATACAGGCTCTTAATCTGTGCTGTAAGCGCTAATTATTGTGCTGTGAAATATAGAGGAAAAAGTGTCTGAAAATAAGAACAACAAAGAGAGCAGATAGAATCTGACAGGTGAAATTATCCTGGTAATTGCATTCACCCATTTACATGTTTGAAATTGAATGAAAACATTCAGAAAGCTGCAAAAAGTTACTCCCTGGGTATAGTACTAACCACAGTGCAGCTTTCTGAAATTTCTCCCTTGCCATATGATATAGCAGGAGCTCAGGGCTTAGGTATGAAAGAGACAGCCGGTCTCAGGTAGTTTTTCCCTGCCCAATCCAGACCAGGAATCACCTACTGAAGGTCCCTTCCTATCACAAGGTGTGGTGGGAGAGGGTATGAGAGGAGGCATTCTCTTTTTGGTCTCCCCTCCTTTGGAATAGCCTGCCCTCCTCCCATTCTCAAAGGCTAGTAAAAACTTGTCTTTTTTGAAAGGATTTTGGGGATTGACTCTGAAATTATAGGCACCAGAATGGTTCTATTGTTCTGTATGAATGTTACATATTAATGTTGTTACTATAGTCTAGATATGCAAAACCTGGTAGAAATGTAATGGGTAGAATGTGGGCTATTGCAAGGAATATATGTGTGTCAACAGAAGTAAAAATAGCTGCATCTATGAGTGTGCTTTTGCATACTTTATTATATGAAAGTAAGAGTTGGGTATGTCAGGAGAAACCTAACGTTAAGTTGAATGTAGTGGGGCCTGGGTACTTCTGAAGTGTGTGGTAAAACAAAATACAATGGGTTCATGAATGAATGGTTGTTGAATGAATGTGGATTAAATATAAACGTGAGTAATCAGTATGAAGATAGGAGATAGTTTACAATGTAAAGAGAATGAATTAATGAGGATTGGATTGCAAAAGCAGTATATGAAAGAGAAGAGTGAATGGGTCAGGAAGAAAAGAAAGGAACTTACATTTCAGTGGAGTTCATGAGATTCTCAAAAAGAGAGAGGTGCAAAGTTTAAAGAATTGAAGGCAATGCAGAATCAGCGTGTGTGTGTTGTAAAAGCACGCTGGTTTGTAAAGGCAGAAAGGAATAATTAATGGTGTTGGTATAAACCAGATTTGGCTATGTTTCCTTTTCTTATATCACACCTTTAAATTCTTTGGTATAGTATTGCTTTTTTTCTATATTTTACTTGAAAGAAATGATGGGTATGTATGTATGTATATATGTCTAAAAAATAACATATTTGGATCTTGGATTATGCTCTCAAAACCTATTATTTTTGCTATTTTTAAATCTACCTGAGATGTGGTATTGCAAAATTACGTGATGCTGCTGAAGCATAGTGGTACATAGACTAAAATTAAGAACATTAGCTGCAGTTTTTGCAGAATGACTGCGATGCTCTTTGTGCCTACTTTTGTTATTAGATAACGGGCCCATCAGGTTGTGGCAAAACTCAGTTCTGTATTATGATGACCTTGCTGGCCACCCTGCCCACCAACATGGGAGGATTGGATGGGGCAGTTATTTACATTGATACAGAATCTGCCTTTACTGCTGAAAGGTAAGACTGATACCAAAAAATATTTACAGCTTTACAAGACATATTTCATTGCATGTATAATATACATGCAGCCTGAAAATAGTGGTTCAAGTGCCACAGTGTTCTTTCTGAAGGCAATTAAAGATCTAATTCAAATTTCAGTATTGTCTTCTTTTCCCTCTGCCCAGTTATAGATTTTGCAAGCTCCAAGCATACCCAGAGTCCAGATTTGGTATAGTCCTTTATAGTGCAACTCTCCTTTGCAAAAAGGGCCAGCTATGTTTTTTAGAACTTACTGCCCGTGCCATTGGCATTAAAGAAAAACATTGGTTCCATGCTTTTCTAATCCAATAATTCGGTGAAATTCCCACTAAAGAGTGGAGTCCTGGTCCAGTTGAATTTAATAGTGAATCCGTTAGAAGCATCTACAGCACTCTCATTTCCAATCCTCTAAGGATAATGTCACTGGATTATTGACGATTTGTGAATGCATGTGAGTTTATTTTTTTAAAGAGAGGAAGTATTTGTTATGTTTTTAACTATTTATGTAATTTAGTTTGGGGCAGAAAGTTCATTCCAGAGTGTGAATTACTGCACTAACCAAGCCCAGCCTAGCTTCGGTTTCTGAGACCATCCAACATCAGCTAAAGGCTGCCATCTGCTGTAGAGGGAGCAAGGGCTACAATCCCTCAAGGAGGGAATCTTTTGAATTCTCCCTTTCTCAATCTTTCTTGAAAGAATTAGAGGAAGTGGTAGATTGCCCCTCCTTGAATAACTGTGAAATCCCTTATTTTCTCTTCCCCCTTTCAATGTATGATTCCTACTTTTCTGTCTCTGTCTCTAGTTAATGAAAAATGAAAAACTGGCAGCCCAAGTCATCAGTACATCAGGTTTTCCAAACACAAGGGAACCTCTTGGTAGTTGCCTCTGCTTTCAGTGTCAGGGTTCCCTTCCTCTTTCACTGATCTAGCAGGTCTGGTCTTCCTGAGGGATCAGTGATCCAGCTCCTGCAGACTAGTTGATCAGGTGGCTAATTGGAAAAGGGGGGGGGGATATTTGTGCGCTCTGGGTTGTTCACCTGTATTTTATTGCTACCCTTGGGAATCAGTAAATGCTGCTTATTGTGAGTTCTACAAAATTTGGGGTGGGGTGCATTTAAAGGCATATGTTGAAAAAATGGGAAAAATCAAACTTATATATTATCAATGCACGTTTACTTTTAATCGAACTCTTCTGTTTAGATAACTTTTTCATTTTCAGTAATTCTGGAAATCAATGCTTATCCTCTCTCAGTAACATGCTTTGGGCTTCAAACAGGCTTATTGAGATAGCACAGCATCGGTTCCCACATTATTTTGCTACAGAAGAAAAGCTGATTGCCATGCCGAGCAATGTTCATGTCTATCGGGAGCTAACCTGTGAAGGTGTACTGAAAAGGTGAGCAATTTCTCTCTTGGGGGCAGCACATTCTGTAAAACGTTCAGTACAGAATGTGGAAGCAGACAAATGTCTTGGACCCCAGTGTTATATACTGATACACACACACATACAATACATACACATACATGCATGCATACAACCATACCCGTATGTATACAGTGCACTATATCTCCATATCCTTAGTGAATGACGGTCTGCTGAAACATTTTATAAAAAAAGCAGTTTTTCTCTCTTACTTTCTTGATCTATAGAAAGCTGCAATATTGAGGATTTTATATGTTGGGGAAGCGCATTCTGTAGGCATCTTTTTTATTTTTTAGTGAGAGTTCTAACAGATTGTTACTTGACATCTCTCTTGATGTGCAGTGCCTTTTCTTTGTAGGATTTCTTTTTACTTTTATTTTCGTTTAGACTTCAAAAAAATTACAATTAACGTTTCTTTTTAAAAAAGGAAACTATAGTATAGTATAAAACCTAAGCCGTAATGTATAATAATAGCAATATATTTATATTATATTTAGAATAAAACTATTTTTACTTATTTATGAGATTTGTAGGCTGCCCCAATGTATAAATAACTAATCCATTATAAATATAAAAAATAAGGTGAAGAAACAAAAGAAAGGGAATATTAAATTACCTAAAAACAAAACAAAAACAGAAAAAAACCCACGAGATGAAAAAATCCTGCATTAAACTACAAAATCAAGATAACGTAAAAATCTAGATATCTACCTTATGTCTTTTTCTAATTATGTGCATATAAAACCCATTTAAAGATAGTTTTTTTTTCTTCTGTGTATTTATTTATCCAACTACTAAGGTAACATTACTTTCTTTAATTTTTTTCCAAGTTGCGCTTCAATTTTTAAATAATGAACCTAGATCTGGAGTTCTGAGAATTTTACGGACATAAACAGAATTAAAAACATCAGTTTTAGGTATACATTCTCAAGGTAATAATTTTAGTAATTACAACTGGATTTGGGTGACACAGTATCAATCATTATTGTAATGATTAACAGAAAGGAGGAATGCAGAGAATTTACAGGGTGATTATGTCCAACTTAAAACTATGGTTTGTAGTCCCTGGGAGCGTCATCACTGGATAAAAGTATCTGAGTATGGAAGGCAGGATGGACCTTTCTCTGGACAAAAGGCAATAAGAGCAAGATGAATCAAATTGAAACAGGAACAATCATGGATTACTTTTCATAGTAAAGTGGAAACATTTCTAGGAAAAGATTGAATTATGAGGAATTGGTCATAGAATCAAATGAGTCTTAGGTGATTGCAGACAGGGAACTCAGTCTGGAATGACACAATACAAAAATACAAGCAAAAAAAGAAGTCTGAGCTCAAGGACAAATATAAGCTTCAAAAAGATTGCACAGGCATCAGTTACTCTAAGATTCAAGATCACTAGAATCAAGTTGTCAGTCGTTTGATTCTTGGGAATAACAGGAAACCTCAAAGAGATTCTTAGCTATTTGTGTTAAAATTAGCTGACTGAGCTTTTCAAAAGCCAAACGTTTCAGATACTGTTGGAGAAAAATGACAAAAAGAGGAGAATATATTGGTGGTACTAATCTACTGATCATTCCTGAAATGGGAATGCTGCATGATTGGGCCTTAGTACTTGCTAAGAAACTGGACTGTTCAACCTAAATATCTCTTGTTGGTAGTGACTTGGAAATTTGGCTTCCATTAATGTATAACCACAGTTCCATAGTAGGGATTCCTTTTTAAATTGGTCAATAGAACACACACATTAGTAGTTTGGTAATTAAATCCCTTGCTAACATAAGGGATCTTCCTTTTTGCAGCCTTCAAGTTTATGCTCTTGTTCCTTCTTCCATAATAAAATTTATTCTTTAATAAGATGCCAGAATGATACAAATAAAACTTACAGTACATGTATACGGATCCATCAGCTGGACTGTTCTGTAGTAACACAGATAATATGCCATACATACACAGACAACTGCATTAGGCTTTCAAAATGTACATATTAAAATGTAAAAGCAAGAAACATTTGCAAATGCATACGCCATGGAGGTACACTTTCTGATATTGGCTGCAGTTACCTCTTGGACATGCAGAAATGGGGGGTTTGTTTAACTAATGTAAAATCATCCTGTGAAACTGGAGGCCTTGGGGCATACATAGGTATGGTGCTTAATTTACTGATGTGAAGAAATTGAGATTGTTTCAAGGCAACAAAGTGTCTATGCTTACTTAGCAAAGTTTATGTATAAGGTATTTAACGTAATCATGCTATAAAGTAAAGTCTCACTTGATTTTAGAAAATATTATATCAACATGTCCACTTTGTTTTCTGGCAACAACTTATCTTTAACTTCAGGAATGCCTTTTCAATTTCCTAGCCTAATCTAGACCTAGGATTTTCTGAGAATCTCCCATTCAGATACTAACCAGGTTCAAACCTGCTTCACCCTTTCAAAATCAATCAAGATCCATTTGCAACTGCAGTCTAGAATGGTATATAGATACTTATACTAAATCCTACAATTGCTATTCAGCTTATTCTTTTTTTCCCCAGAATCCAATCTTTGGAAGAAGAAATAATTTCTGAGAATGTTAAACTAATAATAGTTGACTCCGTTGCTTCTGTAGTCCGAAAAGAATTTGACACAAAGCGTCAAGGTAACCTGAAGGAACGAAGCAATTTATTGACTAAAGAGGCCTCAATATTAAAATACTTGGCTGAAGAATTTTCAATACCAGTAAGTTTCTTTTCTCTATTTTTCATATGTGAAGAATTTTAAAGCCCTTTGTATTTCCAGTGACAATTAGGGATACTAGAACAACTGAAAACTTACGACAGATTTTTTTTGCTTGGCAAGAAGACTGATAGGATTGTTTTTCTCACATGGAAAGAAGTATAATCTCTGTTCTGGTTCTCTGATCACCACACGAACAGTCAATGCTACCCTTCACAGATCTGGGGATATATGGCTGCCCAAGGATATTAGTTGTGTTCCCATTCCTTAAAATTAGCCATTTCCCCCCTTTTAAGTGTTATTTTAATAGTATGTGCTGATGAATTAAACTTTCTTGTAGAAAAAGGTTGGTGAATTATATCTTGGAGCATATTTGAGATTAGATTATTCCACCGTGGGAACGTTTATAATCAGCCTTAGGATGAACCCATATGCTGATGTATGGATGGCAAGACTATAGGCAGTACGACAGGAGATTCTCATTGTTGACGTGGCAGGTTTGCCACCTCTTTATGAATGTGCATCATTAAGATACTACACCAGGTATTTGAGTGGATAGTCCCTAGTATTTTCCTCAAGGCCTGAAATTACTAGAAATCTGAGATTCTTTGCATTTTTTGAAAGTGGACTCTGATAGGATGGTACCATAGTGTTAAAAAAAATCTTTACAGTCAGGATTATCCTGTTAAATTTTAATTTAACTTTGAACAAAAATAAGCTTAATTTACATATTGCATGTTGCAGTTTTTCATAACTCATCTCGTAACATGCCTCTCATGTGTTCAGTAATTCAGGTCTTTCTGCTACTGGTTATTTATTGTTGTTTTAAAATATTGATATGTCATTAATCCTTCTATGGTTGTTTGTGGCAAGCACAAGAATCATACAGTATAGTTTTTTAAAAAAGATTAAACAAACAAAGCACAAGGCAGAGATAAAACAAATAGAAACAGTACCAATAACAGGGTCTTTGAGAGCCACAGAAATATAATGGAGAAATTACATGATAAAAATCAGTAAGACAAGAACATAGTACCAAGGTTCGATCCATGAGAAATATGTATATCAATTTTATTTAAAAACAATATAGAACTTCTAAACAGTTCAATATAAGACTCATGTAAGAATAATCTAGATGACTTATTTCTAAATGCTATTAATGAGAAGAGGGAGCAGCCAGCATTTTGGAAAACTGAGAAGTGCATCACTGTTGTGAGGTTTTGGTGATTTCCTAGTGTGATGAAAATTACTATTTTTCAGAGAGTTAAAGTTAGTATGTCCATTATCCATTTTTGCTATGAGAATTTAGTAACTGAGTTGCACTTCCCAATTCAAGGATGGTGGACAATTTGGGGTTCTTCCTGGACTCACAGCTCCTGCTTGATGAGCAGGTGGCAGCTCTGGCAAGGAAGGCTTTTGCCCAGCTTCATGTGATGTACCAGTTGCATTCTTTCCTAGTTCAGGGGCCCTTCAGACAGTCACCAATGCCCTTGTCACCTCATGGCTTGACTACTGTAATGCGCTCTACATGGGGCTGCCCTTGAAGACCATCTGGTTGATTTTTGTTTTTTTTTAGGATGAACAAACTTATATGGTACAAAAAAACCCCACCCAAGATTTCTTCCTTTACGTTTATCAAGAACTCTCACTTCTATCTCTACTGCTGTTTTCATGTTTTCAGTGTGAATTTGAGGGGGGGACTTTCTAGATGATGAGATTATATCTGCAGCAGAATTGCTAAACCCAGATGATGAAAGGATGGAAGCCTCAAACCCCATCTCTCACAAGCCTCTGAATCTTCAAACCCTGGCCCCTCCTGCTACTTTGGGTTAGCATCTTGATAGTGCCCACTGTTGCCACCAATTGTCCAGTTTTTAATAGTAAAATGTAAAGACATATTTGATTTTTTCTTTTTCTACAAAAATCTGGATGGAAAATGGCAAAACAAATAGGCTCCAGGTTGGCAAAGAAGTGAGACAAGGCTGTATGTTGTTGTTGTTCAGTCGTTAAGTCATGTCTGACTCTTCATGACCCCATGAACCATATCACACCAGGCCTTCCTGACCTTCACTGCCTCCCGGAGTTTGCTCAATTTCATGTTCATTGCTTTGGTGATGCTATTTAACCATCTCATCCTCTGCCGTCCCCTTCTCCTTTTGCCTTCCATCTTTTCCAGCATCAGGGTCTTTTCCAAAGAGTCCTCATTAGGTGGCCAAAATATCTGAGCTTGAGCTTCAGTATCAATCCTTCCAATGAGCAGTCAGGGTTGATTTCCTTTAGGATTGACTGGTTTGATGTTCTAATAGTCCAAGGGACTCCTAAGAGTCTTCTCCAGCACTACAATTCAAAGGCATCAATTCTTCGGCGCTCAGCCTTCC